TCTGGTGGAGGAAAGCCTCAGACACGAGCAGGAACCCGAGTGAACCACCAAGGAACAAATGTAATGCAAGGGCCAACATATTTCAAATAAAATACATATAGGAACACAAGAAGGTAAAGCATGAAGACTATGATTTTGAACACAACGGTTACAACTATTTCTACAATTCTCAAGAAGAACACACGTTTCTATAATTTATAATACCTTGGACTAAAGCTTATATACAAGTGGCAATCCCCTTAAACTAAAGAAAGTAAAAGTATAAACTTCAAATCTCTCTTCAAATGATATCTTGAAGAAGTATATTATACAAGCAATTATCATAGTATTGCAAGCAATACATAAGTCCCCTACCGGTAAGAGCCCAAGCAACATTCTGAAGGGCCATTGGCCATTCACTTATGTTCCTATTTTAAGTAAATTTGTTGAAAAAGTTCTTTAAAAGTGATCACAGGAAACAGTTTTTATGTACAGACAGCCGGACTGAAGGACACTTTAAAGTTATTTTTTAAACATCCCTGTTATCAAAATATAACATATTAAAAATCCTATCATGATTGAAGAAGTTGGAGTAAAAATTACCAATTTCTCAACAAAAAAAATCTAAGTTTAAAAGGGGCATAATTCTGGAAATAGTCTTGCTAGAGTATTGAACACTCACAAATGTTGAGTGATAATAAGAAACATTTATATGAAGTTTGAAGTAGATACATTCAGAACAAGAGCACCGCTAGGCGGAGCATTATATGCCCGAAAGTGATTTTTTTTTTTAGTAAAGATGAAGAATTTGTAAGACATGGGAATTAAATAAAGTATTAACTCCTTCACAAAACAATCATCCTTTGAAGTTTCAATATTGTGGTCCAAATGGAACTTAAGTTATGCCCCGGAAACTGTTTTCATTTCTAAGGTAATAGTGACCTTGACCTTTGACCTTGTGACCCCAAAATCAATACGGGTCTTCTACCCAATATGGACAAACATACTATGAAGTTTAAACACAGTGGGCCAAATCAAACTTAAGTTATGTTCCAACAACTGTTTTCAGTTTTAAGGTCATAGTGACCTTGACTTTTGACCTTGTGACCCCAAAATCAATAGGAGTCTTCTACCTTATATGGACAATCATCCTATGAAGTTTGAATACTGTGGGCCAAATTGAACTTAAGTAATGCTAAAAAAACTGTTTTCAATTTCTAAGTAATAGTGACCTTCACCTTTAACCTTGTGACCCCAAAGTCAATAGGGGTCATCAACCCAATATTGACAATCATCCTATGAAGTTTGAACACTGTGGGCCAAATGGAACTTAAGTTATGCTCCGGAAACTGTTTTCAGTTTTAAGGTAACAGTGACCTTGACCTTAGACCTTGTGACCCCAAAATCAATAGGGGTCTTCTACCCAATATGGACAATCATCCTATGAAGTTTGAACACTGTGGGCCAAATGGAACTTAAGTTATGCTCCGGAAACTGTTTTCAGTTTTAAGGTCATAGTGACCTTGACCTTTGACCTTGTGACCCCAAAATCAATAGGGGTCTTCTACCCAATATGGACAATCATCCTATGACGTTTGAACACTGTGGGCCAAATGGAACTTAAGTTATGCTCCAGAAACTGTTTTCAGTTTTAAGGTCATAGTGACCTTGACCTTTGACCTTGTGACCTTAAAATCAATAGGGGTCTTCTACCCAATATGGACAATCATCCTGTGAAGTTTGAACACTTTGGGACAAATGAAACTTAAGTTATGCTCCGGAAACTGTTTTCAGTTTCAAGGTCATAGTGACCTTGACCTTTGACCTAGTGACCCCAAATTCAATAGGGGTCTTCTACCCAATATGGACAATCATCCTATGAAGTTTGAACACTGTGGGCCAAATGGAACTTTAGTTATGCTCCGGAAACCAAATTGCTAACGGACGGACGGATGTACGGACGGACGGACAGACGGACGCCAGGGGGTATAACATAATATGCCCGAAATTCTTTCGGGCATATAAAAAGAAGTTATTAAAAAAAAACAATGTTTTTTCATGAAAATTTTAAGTTCAAGGGAGGTAATTCTGATAAATTTTGTGCTAGAGTTGTAAACCTTGTCACATATGATGTGGTTGATTACAAGCAACTTATATTTAAAGTTTGAAGAAAATACCTTAAGAAATAAATAACTTATAGCGAAAAAACTTAAAAACTAGAATCAGAAATCTTGAAATTCAGTCTATTTGTTGCCATAGCAACCAGAATTTTCAACATAGGAAGAAAAGAAAAAGACGTGCATAATTTCCATACTGCCATATACCCATATGTCAAGTTTCATAAACATATTTTCAGTACTTTTTGTGTTATCACTGGATCCAGGTTATGTGTAAAATTTGCCATATTTTCAGTCTATTTGTTGCCATAGCAACCAGAATTTTCAACATAGGAAGAAAAGAAAAAGACGTGCATAATCTCCATACTGCCATCTATCCATATATCAAGTTTCATAAAAATATTTTCAGTACTTTTTGCGTTATTGCAGGATCCAGGTTATGTGTAAAATTTGCCATATTTTCAGTCTATTTGTTGCCATAGCAACCAGAATTTTCAACATAGGAAGAAAAGAAAAAGACGTGCATAATCTCCATACTGCCATCTATCCATATATCAAGTTTCATTAAAATATTTTCAGTACTTTTTGTGTTATCGCGGGATTCAGTTTTGTGGACGGACGGACGGACTAACCGACGGACAGACGGACTGATGGACGGACAGACGGACGGAGGGTAAACCTAAAGTCCCCTCCGGTAAACCAGTAGGGGACTAATAAAGAATTGCGAGTTTCATCTTTATCATGCAAGTTGTATAAGGCAGTAGAAAAACAAATTTTATTCTACAGCACAATAATCCCTCTTTTTCTTTTCTTTATATGTGTTGCATAGTTTTTAAAAATCCAAAGACAATCATATACGACTTAATCCTACCTGTCATAGATATTTTTTTTACAAATTATTTGACACTATTTAAATCATTGAGCAGCTTTTGTACAAGTTATCTAACACTTTGTTAAATTAATGAGCAAAGTCCAGGAAGGAAAACTATATCAAACTTAGACTGGCAGTGTATTATAAAACAAACAAGGCTTTATACATAAAGCTGAACAAAATTAATTATCTATTCCGCATCAAACTATGCTATAATCAATTGGTAGAAGTCTAATAATTTTTTACTATAATTTGATTAGGTAATTGGGTCTTAGAAGAATAATGCGTGAGGTACAGCTGCAAAGCTTTGTAATTAATCTAATCAGTGTCAGACGTGTTAGAATCATCAATATACCAATCTAAAATTTTTGTTGAATAAAGAAATTCAATTAGGTTTAAAAATTAATTGTACAACAAGTTCTATTCTATATTTTGTATCAAAATTAATTTCATGCTGCAGTAAATGCATTGCAGTAAGAAATTCTAATTTATTTTGTTTGGAGAATAATTTTAAAACAATTTTTCAGCTGTAAATTGTGTGAAAATTCATATAAACGGGAATTGTAGTTGCTTAACAAGCTTTAAAAACATTCATTAATAATTACTTATGAATACTTTTGAAACAAATATATATTTGTCTATGATTATATTTAATGTTCTGAGCCAAGACTAAGGGTCTGCCAACCTTTTTTTAAGGTAAGCAGACATGCGTCATTTCAACAAAATATGAATTACATTCTCTACTACAGAATAAGTACAGATAAAACATAAAGTTAAACTAAACCCAGTAAGAAATCAATCAAATGGAATGCAAATGGTTAGGGGTTTTCTTTTTGTTTCACAAAATGTTCCTCACTCAGTTGCACTGCATGATTAGAGCAAAAATGTTACATCAACATTCATCTTTACTGTGAATTTAGAGTACTTGAACACATCTCTAGCTCTGTCTAGCTAAACCACAGTAGAAAACTCTGCTAATAACTAATGTTCACATGTAACACATTCAGTTAACATATATCATGATTTTGAAGCTTGCTTTGAAAAGAAAGACACTATTGATGGGATTCCATGTACAGGGCTCTGTAAAAAAAAGAAAAAAGATTAAATCAATAAAATTTTACCAATAAAAGTTATAATTTTTTATTAAGACAATAAAAAGACACCAAAATGAATGTAAACCATAGCTCAGATATTGTTTAACTTGGTTAAACATTGAATTCAGACGTACAAACTTTTTACGCACTTGCATGTGTGTATTAATTAACTATTGAATAGTGAATTTCTCAGACAAATTTGAGCAGGAAGAAGACAAAGGTTCTCAAAGACAGTGTCTATTCTAGGAGGGGGATTGGGGGGATTTACTCATATTTTTGAGAATTCCTTCCTCTATTTTCAGAAACAGGGAGAAAATTTTACACAGAGAAAGAAGAAAAAAGATCAACAAATGTAATAAATTCTCACTTTTCGATAAAAATCCTCCCTGTTTTTCAAATCCTAGAATAGACCCTGAACCCTTCCCACTGTGCAAACCAAGTAGGTTGAAGAAATAAAGACAATAATTTTATTCACTACCTTTATTTTAGGTGATGATGTCGGACTTCTCTCTATTTCCTGTGACGACTCTGTACCTGAACTGTCACTCAACTTGTCCAACAGTTTCCCGCGGCATTTTTTGCTCTGTGGACTATGTCGCGCAAGTTTCTGAATTCTCATTTGTGTCAGCCAATCCACTGTCTTCTTTTTATCCTCCTCTGTCTCAGCCTGTTGGACCTTTCTCTGTGGACCATCAACAACAAGATTTGGTAAATTAGCTGTAGGGGACTGATAAATATTACTATCTAGTTCTTTTAAAGACATTCTAGCTGGAGACTGAAACATGTCCGGGATAACAAATTGTTTCTTGACAGGGCTTTCAATAAAGTCACATTTTGAGTCTTTAACAACTTTCTTAGGACTTGGAGTATTTTCCTTGTCCACTTTTATCACATTAAAATCTTCTCTATCAGTTTCGCTACAAACTCTTTGCTTTTTATGTTTTTCTGGTGAATTCTCATCATCATCAACCAGTTTTCTTTTGCATGACTTCCGAACATTTTGTTTCTCATTTTTTTGACTATCTTTATTTTCCTTAACACATTTCACTTCACTATTTTCAGTTAGTCTTTTGTCTCTCTGAGTATCAACTGTATAAAATTTTGGTTTCTTAGCAGCACTAGAGGATTCTGCCCCAGTTGGTACAGCACTAATGGAAGAAGTTTTATTGTCTGCCAATTTTTCTGTTCCAGTATTACCAGATGTAGAAGGAACATTTTTGTTTCTTATGGAATCAGATGTGTGAGCATCAGGAGCACTAGCACTTCGTTTGAGCCACATCTTTATGGAGGGAGATGGTGATGCCTGTACACTGATCTTTGCTTGTTTGGGGGTAACAGCTTTGACAGGTCCAAATGGTAATGTAGCAGATCTCTTCATGGCTGCCTTGGGGGAACGTTTGGGAGTCTGTGGACCCGAATCAACTGATGTTCCTGTAAAATTTACCAAAGAAACTATCATCATTTATCAGTAAAGAATATTGAAACACATTTGGATGTTATAACGCAGGATATTAGTCAGACTGTTTTAGAGCAAACTTCCAGGACAGATGATTTAAGCAAAGATACTTATTAACTTTTTCTAATGAGCTAAATTTTGTTGACCCTCCTGAATTCAAAAAAATAAAACTTGTCCAGAATTCATAAATTTTCACGGCAATAAAGACAAGAGGGCCATGATGGCCCTGAGTCCCTGACCCGAAACAACTGCTTTTCAGTGTTGGAAATTATCCATTGTCAATTTTTTCTTATATTAAATTTGAGCGTAGAATATCTTTAAATAATAATTTATTTAATGACCTGGGGCATTTAAGCTTTAGCTTAAACTGGGCCAATCAAATTAATATGAGCAAAGTTGATAAAAGACTACCTAAGACTGCTACAGACAAAGTTGGGCGATCATCCATTAATTCTTTCAGTAGGATATAATGTTCTAAGGTTTTTCTATTTTTAGCTTTAGTGACCCCTAAAAGGGGCCAATCAAATTAATATAAGCAAATTTGATAGAAGACTACTTATATATATTTACCAAGAATGGTACAGACAAAGTTTGGTGATCATCTATCAATTAGTTCTGTAGTAGAAGATGTTTAAAGGTATTTCTATTTTTAGCTCAATTTTAGGCCAATCAAATAAATATGAGCAAACTTGATAAAAAACTACCCAATAATGCTACAGACAAAGTTTTGTGATCATCCATCCATTAGTTCTGTAGAAGAAGATGTCTTAAAGGTTTTTTCTATTTATAGCTCTAGAGACCCCTAAAAGGGGGCAATGAAATTAATATGAGCAAAATTGAAAAAAGACTACCCAAAAATGCTACAGACAAAGTTTGGTGATCTTCTATCAATTAGTTCTGTAGAAGAGGATGTCTAAAGCTTATTTTTTTCGTTTTTTTTAGCTCTAGGGACCCCTTTAAGGGGCAAATCAAATTAATAAGAGCAAACTTGATATAAGACTACTTAAGAATGCTACAGACAAAGTTTGGTGATCATCCATCCATTAGTTCTGTAGAAATAGACGTTTAAAGGTATTTCTATTTTTCGCTTTAGCGGCCCCTTAAAGGGGCCAATCAAATTAATATGAGCAAACTTGATAAAAGACTACCCACGAAATGCTACAGACAAAGTTTGGTGATCATCCATCCATTAGTTCTGTAGAAAATGTTTAAAGGTTTTTTCTATTTTTAGCCCTAGAGACCCCTAAAAGGGGCCAATCAAATTAATATGAGCAAACTTGATAAAAGACTACCTAAGAATGCTACAGACAAAGTTTGGTGATAATCCATCAATAAGTTCTGTAGTAGAAAATGTTTAAAGGTATGTCTATTTTTAGCTCTGTTGACCCCTAACAGGAGCCATTGAAATGACATGAGCAAATTTAAGTGTGACTGTCACAAGGATGCTACAGACCAAATTTGATGTAAATCTGCCCGGCAGTTTCAGAGAAGAAGATGATTGTTGACGCATGACAACGGACGCCGGAGCATCCCCCTTTGATATTAATAGCTCACCATGAACCTTCAGTTCTGCTGAGCTAATGACCCACTAACTGGTAACATGTCTGTACCTATATCTCTGTGTGTTCTCTCAGCAGAGCCTGTGATACCACATGATATATCTGTCCTTCCTAACTTCTTCCTTATATCAGCCGTAGAATCATATCTCCATACTCTTACAGTGTTATCATCTGATGTTGTGACCAGCTGCAAAACCAATAATATCTTCTTAAATAATGTTAACTAACTCTCAATGTCAAAACATTACCCTGAAAAACAGTATCACTGCGGTATACCGTACCCCGGATATTGCTCGATATTATGAGGACTTTCATCCCATTTCGCGACTTTGAACGAGGAAAGAAGGTATGTTTAGTGACTATATTTAGTCATTTTGAATTGGTTAGATATAAATTTTGTAGAAATACAAATACTTCGATAATTTCTCTAGTTAATGAAACCCCAAAAATGTTGAGAAATAGCTTTGAAATGTAATTAGGAGGTAAAATTCGTCTCTTTGCTCACGTGATAAATGAGCTCGGATCAGTCAAATTTGATGTTTTGTGCATATACATCCTTAAAAGAAAAACTTGAATCGAGTGAAACGTGATAATGATGATAATGTTTATGTTGTAAATGTTCAATCAACGATAAAACCTCAGACGACAGTGCATTTTGAGAATAAATACGCATGTCAGTGTACCGAGTATTGCTTTGGAGTTGCCCGCCGGTGTCACGAGTATTGCTTTTGAGTGTAACGAGTATTGGTTCTCAATAAAGAGTAAATGCAAGTAGTAAACACAAAGTATTTACCACATTTAATTTTAAATATTTCTTACTGTGTATACTTTTTTACACTATATGTGAAGAATATGCAGAATTCGGAGGTACTTTACTGGAAACATCTGCGAATAATCCAGATTTTCATTCCTGCTCGTGAAAAATCTCAGTTTTCTGTGTTTAAAATGTTCTCGTTGCTATCGAAGGATCAACCTTTCCAGAATTTGTTAATAATTATTGCATATCTTACTTTAAATAGTAAAAAAAGCATCCAAAGTGCATTAATACTGCCTCAAGATTGTCAATATTAGACGGTATTGAACAAGTGTTCCAATATCTAATATCAACCGACTTCCTACTATGCCAAAAATCCATATAAAGGTAACTTTCGGGCATTTTGCACCTGCACACTAGCAACGGCAGACCGTCTGCACGTGAAATTTTGTTACGCCTTAGCAAAGGTTTCCGTATGACTGTCGAGCAAGTACAGCTCAAAAAACCGAATAATGGATTTTGATAAGATTATGATAAAGGGCAGCAGTTGCAATAAAAAGGTTATGTTCCTTATAACCTTTTACCTCATAAAGGCGTGTTTTGAAAGCTTTACATCCCCATCCCTTTTGAGGCCTAGTGTAAAAATAGCGCAGCGTTTCCTATATAGGCCCCAAACACTGTTTTTTTTCGTTTGAGAAATGTTGTTCAAAAGAGCGATCACTTTTTCGGCTACCCCCATTAAAAAGTATATCAAGGGGGTTACACAGGGGGGATGTGCACCCTTCTGTTTGGGGGTTTGAAGTGGGGCAGCAGCCCCTCTAATCGTCGAGAAGACTTGGATCTTGTTGGGGGGGGGGGGGAGGGGCTAAATGGCCTCAGGTCGATTTAAAGGTACCGTGTAATCAACGCCGAAAACCTTAGACTTTATCACAATCAACTGAGAAGTTGGTGCACCTTGAAATCAGTTTTGATGGGAAAAAACAACGCAAAATAGAGATTTTGGCAATTTTGAGACGCCCCCCCCCCCCGTTGCCATGGTAACTGAAAATTTAAAAATTGAGCATGCTATTCCACAGGCTATGGTCTAGCTAACATTTGTGCCCAGTTTGATCAGTATTAAAGCATTTTTTATCGTTTCATAGCAGTTTGAACTTGTAACAAGAGGCTTAATTCAATGAAAACAGCCATTTTTCGCATTATGCTCATGCAGTAAAAGGTTAAGACGATGCCGGCATGCTTGGACGGCATAAGCCCTCTGGCCAATATTTTATGAAGTGCGTCGATATGTTTCTTAAGTCAAACTTGCCCTGTAAAAACCTATTATTAATGTCATCTAAATATGTTTTTTTATTCTTGTCCTTTTCAGAGATAGGTCTTCTTTATCAAAGTTTCTTGAGACATGTATTTAAAGTTTTTTATCGTCAATTTTGATGGTTCTACCCTGCTTCCGACCCTGCACACACTTTATTTCATCCATAGTGTGATTTTCAATCAAATGGGAAATTAAATCTCTGCATTTGCCAGTAGGAAAAGAACAGGAATAACAATGAAAAATTGAAAATGCATTGTTGAATCTGAAATATTTGAATAAATATCATATAAACAGTACATTATCAGAAAAATGAAATTGAATCGATAAACAGACGTGAAAATTAGACAAAAATATCGATTTTCCATACTAATGTGCTCATATTGTTTTGCAATAATCTGTACACTAAAGTTGGGCTATTTTGCAATACTCTGTACACTTAAAATCAATACTCGGTACACTTTCTTGTATCTTTTTTGGCCTGTATCTTTTTGTACTTTCACACTTTTTGCCTGAAATTTGGACAAGGCATACTTGGATTGAGAATAAAAAAAATGCTCGATTCAATTTTTTTTATATTGGTGATATAATAATTTCTAACTATTCTACAGTATCGCGGTCAGTATTTTCTAGTGAGCAGCGGATCGTTTAGGGGTAGTTTAATCAATTTTACAAATACCTGTTATACTTTTACGTCTTTTAGAGCTACAGAAATACCTCTAGATATATAAAACCCGTTGAGATAAATGAAATAGCCAATAGTTTGGAAAATATCGTCGCTGAACTTACCTTCGTTCCCCGTTCAAAGTCGCGAAATGGGATGAAAGTCCTCATAATATCGAGCAATATCAGGGGTACGGTATACCGCAGTGAGTATGTTCTTATCATAAAACTTGACAAGCTTTTCTGAAAACTTTTGCTTTAAAACATGGAATTGTAATTTGTGGGTAACACAAAAGCATATCAAGAACATGACAAATGACTTAAGCCAATGATCCTTCAAAGGGAGCAAACTTTGTCCAGACTGAAAACACAATTTTAATTAAAGTGTTGTGTCTAATCATTTTGTAGAAAATTAAGTAATATACTTGTAGATAATGAGATAAAGGCTGTACATTTTAGTTGTTTTAACAACTCCTTTATGTTCATGAAGCCTGAAGGAATGTTCTTTCTTCAAGTTTAACACCTTTATCAATCTATATTGACATTATGTGGACAATCACAATGGCTGAAGGGAAATAACTACCGGAAAAAATCTGTTGTTTTTTTGTAAACCTACATATTTTGTTTGATTTGTATTATGAAACATATCTCCTTAAAGAATTGAGGACCACCTCAATCTCACAAAGAGATGTCTGCAGTAGTAAGGAGCTGTCAGCCAGAAAGTGACCTGGACCTTTTGTTATAAAGGACTATAGAGATGATTATACATGACATGGTGTCCATGCAGTTGAACACTTACCCTATATAAATCTGTATTACACCAAGCAACATCTGATATCTCACTTCTATGACCTTTCAATATGACAGGACTGGCATTTGGTTTATTTACCTGTATCATACATTAAAACTGCATTTAATTCAAACACAAAACACACTGACAAGTTATAAAGAGAAGACTATTGATTATACAAATTTCATATCAATTTTTCTTCCTTGGTTATAAGTCTTACTAACACTGTAGAGGTCATATGGGGACTTGCTAGTTTGTGGGCCAGGAAGACCTCAGGTTTGTTTGTTTGATTGGGCTTTTACGTCAAACCGACACGGTATAGGTCATATGGTGACGTTCCAGTTTTACTGTTGGAGGAAGACCTCAGGTGCCCTTCCGTGCATTATTTCAGGCATGAATGGGCACCTGAGTTGAACCATCGACGTTCTGTAAGCTAGCTGGATAGCTTCCTCACATGAAAGAATCCAAAGTCCCTGTCGGGATTCGAACCCACAGCGGTGAGGGGCAAGTGGTAAGACCTCAGGTACCATACTCCTGAGTAGAAGTGGGTACCAGAGTAAAACCACCTATATTCTATGTGCTAGCTGGAGAGCTTACTCATATAAAATAATTCATATTGCAGGATTCATACTAACTGCTGTGAGGAAATAGTGATTCATTCAGCAAATTTATCTACTTGGTAAACTTTACTTATTTTTTTTAGTCTAAACAGACAAATTTGTGTGACACAACATAAACAAACTTTAAAGCTGCACGCCTCCAGATGAGCCAACTTATTTCAAGAAAATCAATATTGCGAAAAATGTTCTAAAATTTTAAAAAGGTAAAAGACCCAAAGTTATATTTTACATGTTATGTGTGTTTACGACTGATTTCGCAATATTTAATTATTATATTGCTACTGCGTTACTAACGCAGTAAGGGCTATTTTTAACATATGTTGACCATTATTTAAAGGTTCTCGCGGAAAAAGTGCTGATTGCAATATGTAAATTACTTTATTTGTTCACCTCACAATATTTTACTTTTAAATACATTTCCAAAATTATCATGAAAATTAACATGAATCTGAAGGTGTGCTGCTTTAAAATATATAATGATAACAGGCTACTTTCGCAATGAATTTTAGAGAATTTTTAGACACTTTTAAGAGAACAGCTGTTCTTAACTACTCAAAAATTGATAATTTGGCAGATCTATACATTTTTATTACAAAACAGTATCATATAAATTTCAGATAAAATTTATAGCTAAAAGTATATAATGGATCCTAGCTGTAGGGATAACAAGAGCCATGTTAACATGGCCATCCCCCGCTGAATGTGTTTGCTCATTGGAAGAATATATATGTAGTAGAGCAGGTTATCCAAATTTTAAACTAATGCAGCCAGCAGTAGGAAGTGTTGTCACAAAGATATTTAAATATCATTATTACTAATAGTGTTTAAATGTACATTTAAAATGATCAGCAGTTCAGCACATTACCTGCCAGATATAAGCCTGTTCATCTGTAGATCCACTCAGTAAAAATTCATTGTCTGGACTTAATACAGACTTTACATAAAATGATGTATTCCTGTGCCCCTTATATGTACACACTGAAAATACAAATATCAATCTAATGGCTTGATATATCTTATCTTTAAAATTTGTAAGTAAGATGGCATTGGTTAGAATTATCTCCCTTTACATGAATGACATACCAGCATACATGAGTTGTCTTTCTTGACTACAAACTTACATTAATATAAGTTAAGCGACTTTAATTTTCTGCTAGTTTGCCTCCTTCCACGACTAACTCCTCCATGAATTTAATGATTAAACCTTTTGATATGTTGAAAGACAGGAAGAGTGTAACCGCTTTTGTAAAAGACTTAATTCTATCTTTAAGCACTATCAGTAACTAAAGCAGACCATACAAGAATATTTTTGTACATAATTTAATAAATTTTGAAACTTCAGTAGTATCTACAGTTGATTTTTAAACATGTTACAGGGTACAGAACCTACAATTGCTCTAGAAATCTCAATGACAAAACTTGTATCTCTAAAACAGTCTTGATGTTACCAAGCCTTGACTTTTCCAAAGAAAGACTTATACCTTTCATTTACATGCTCAATAAAACTGAGTCTGTGATTTTCAAAACATTATTCTTGAGGAATAACCTGATAACAAATTCTTTATTGTTATTAAATTAGTCTCAAACTCACAATCTTTAATATTTACTTGGACAGTGTTACTATTGGACCATTTTCCACTTAATAGTCAACCACATGCCCTTTAAGGTGAAGATATTTTTCTCTAAAGAATGGAACATATAAGTACCTGGTTCAGGTTTATATGAGATAAAATCATAACAGTAGATGACATCATCTGTACAGTTAGCATACAACTTCGTAAAATACGAGTCAAATGTTAGACTGGAAAACCCTGAAAATAAAGCAATCCATTAATAGATAACAAATTTACAGTAAGAAAAAAAAATCATGGGAGTGGAAATAAAGATATGTTTAAGACTGGCCTAAACTGTTAGCTGCTTAATTTTAATATTAAAGTCCCTTACTTTCAAAATGGTCAGTCCAAAATTGAAAGCTTGAAAAGTACATTAAACATAAATTAAGAAGTAAAATGGTTAGTTGGCAAGCATTGGTTAATATTATTCATGTATTTACCGTGTGTTCTTTTCGAGCTCCCGGTGTATGGAAAATTATACACAGCTGAGGCACTATCCGGTTTTATTTTCCTAATATCCCAAACCTTCACACATCTGTAAATTACAAAAGGAAGGTTCCATGATTAAATTTATGGATTGTAGCAATTCTTCAAAATCAATCCATTAACAACAATGCTTACAAACTGGACGAAAAACTGACAGACGGACATGCAACTAAAATGGAGCATTTTTTAATTTTCTTTTGTTTAATAGTCATTGGCCCCTTTTATTCTATTGTTACAGAATGATGAACTCTATTGTTCTCTATACAGTTAGATAGTCCCCTATTTATTTTCGGTAGTGTGGAAGGATTTATTATAATCTTAGGGGCATAAAAAAGGAACAAAACTTTGGAGACTACTAGGAATCAAACCCATGTCACAAAACTGCCAATTATCCTAAACAACTCACAACTGTCAAAAATACTAAGCTTCAGTATCAGTAACTAAGGATATAAACAAGGTAAACCATATGATCAGTGAAAGATGAGCTGGTTTTGTAACATTTACATTCTTTATGTACTTTATACTCAAGCTTACCCATCGACAGCTCCTGATGTGGTCAACATATTATCATTCTGGAAGACAACACAGGTCACTGACTGCTGACAATCCTGAAATACAATAACTAATGTATACACAATATATATAGAGCATATACATAATCTCATAAAATAGCTCTACCTCATTCTCAATTCTTTAATTAGTTACCATATTGTAAAATGTAATATAATTTATCAAATAATTTGAATGATGCCAACTAATTTCTTATCGTAATGTTCATTTCAAGTTGATGTTTCTTTATTTCTATGGGCGTTATGATCACAAAATAAATACAAAGTAGTCTGAATGTTACTTTACATGTTTTGCAGAAATACAATTTCTTATCCAATTAACTAAGTAAAGCCTACCTTTAAATTACATACTAATATTATTTTATTGGTTGGTTTTGAGTCATACAAAAACTGTTAAGGTCATATGGCAACCTTCCAGCTTTAATGTGGGAGAAACCCAAAGTTTTCTTTACCCCTCAGTAGAACCAACTTCCCACAATTTAGATGGATAGCATCCTCACATTAAAGAACCCAAAGTCATTATGGGTCTTGAACCTAAAGTGCTATGGGGTAAATAATTCAGTCAGTGGCCAGCCGCCTAGACAACAAGTCAACAAACTGCTGCTCTAAATAATGTCATCATTTCTAAAAATGATGACATAAACTGTGACCTACCTGTGATGTCATGGGACCAAGACGAGATTTCTTCCTCTTACTGGAAGTTTGTTGTAATACACTATGAGCATTTTTTATCACTCCTATGCAACTAACTTTGTCACCTGAAAAGTAGAAATATATGCCTTAAAGTACAGACTTATGATAACTAGAAATGTGTCCATAGGACATTGATACCCCCACATTACAATGTCTAGTCAATCTACAGACAGACAGTTTGACAGACAGATAGTGGAAATCTTTATTGCCCCACATCATTGGGCATAATAACAGTTTTTGTACCTTATCAAAAGTTAACCTTTCCTATGCTGAATTTATGGAATACACTGACAGCTATAGAACCGACTTATTTTCCATGGAACTTAACATGAAGATACAAATATTAAATACATATATTTCAGAAATTTCAAAATCAATGTTCTAATGGTCTTAAATAAACAAGTAAGAACATTCAATAGTAAGTTCATATGACAATAATCTGTAAATAAACCCTGGTAATATGTAACAGTGACATACCTTTAACATTACATCTAGTATCCCATAATCTAACATGGCCATCTCTACTACCGGAGGCAAACACGGCTGTAAATTATGAAAGTATACATAAGGTTATGTCAACAAATACACTTCAAACCATGTAACTGCATCAAATACCTTCTTACTAAACTTACTTGTATCTGTTCTTTTCCTCTTAAGAAAAAATGGCTACATAAAGTGACAACTTGACATTTTTTAAAACATACATGTATCCTTATACTTTATTTGTATTTAAGTTATCAAAATATCCATTATTATTCAGTAAAAAAAGTTAACCCTACTTGAGATTAAAAAGTTTTAACAATTTTCATTCAAAATCAATATTTTGATAAACTTAAAACTGAGTATAATTTATAATGAAAGATAATGTATGTACCATCATCTTGTGGTCGGTACTTTACGGACCGCACAGAGCTGCTGTGACCTTTAAACGTGAGCAGTTTTTTCTTGTTTGGTACATCCCACAGACATATAGTCTGATCTCCTGATGCGGTGAGAAGTTTCTGTTCTTCTCTCATCCATTCTACATCAAATACAGCATTACTGTGTGCTATCCAATCTGAAATTTCCAAATATAACTGCAGTGCTCTTGAAAAGCATCATTTTTTACAAATAAAGTTCATGAAAAAAACAAGAAATTTCAAATCTGTCACATTTAAAGTGACCTTCAGCTTTTCTAAAGGTTAAATATCTTATTTTTAGATAAAATATTTTGCATCAATGTCAAATCAAAAGAATTAAGGTCAAAGTTCCGACAGCAGTTTGACCAGTGAAAGCCCAACAGATTTTTGCTATTTAAAGCTCTGGCGACCATTTTGTGCAGCGAAGCGGAACATGCCGGCGATATGCAAAACTACGGATGGTACTGATCAATCCTCTGAAGTTTCATTGAAATTCCACCAGCAGTTTGACATTTGAAAGACAGATATATAGCTCCGGAGGCCAATTTTTGCAGCAAAGACAAAATATTCTGTAGTATTGGTGTCTGTAGAAAGCCTCTAAAACTGATAATGCACTGTTACCTGTGATGTATGCTTGTTCACCAGCTAGGTTGGTGTTGTATAGTACCACACTACCACATTCATCAACCAATGCTAGAACATGTTCCGTGTTTTTACCTGTGTATGCAAAATCATATAATAACAAAATTATACAGTCAATATGAACCCAATCTGTTAGTACATTCTATGCTATCTGGCACAGCTTTACACAATTGGCTATTTCAATTCATGTAATTTAGTTTAAAAGAGATTTTTCCCAAATTAACCTATGAAAAATTTCATACTTTATATATTAAATTAGCAGGTAAGATAACGATTATATGATTTCTTGACTAATGTTTTGCAAGAATATGCTCATCATATTCAACTTTATGATGGTGTACTTTTTAATTTTTGTATATATAGATTAATAATATCTGTCATATGTTTACGGTTCAGATCGAAATATCCGTTCCAAGGGTACCCCCCCCCCCCCCATGGGCGGTGCCCAAGGGACAGTTTTTTCAATCTGAACCGCAAACATGTCAGATATATTTTATTTTTGTATATTTTTTTTTTATATTTAAATTGGTTTACCTCAATAGGATATTTTGTTCATGGAAATTATTATCATTTCATCCCTAACTATGTTCTTACAATAGCTTATGAATTTACAACTTTAATAGCAACGGCAAAATGACGTCATCCTAAGTACATTGTTCCCTTCTAAAATGCGCCGAAATGATTTCATTTTTATGCAGTTCATTCATAAAATGCGCTAAAATGAGGTTGTTGTATGGCATGCCAGATGAAGTTTCCAGCATGAGTAAAACTAATGGAAACGTCAGTCTACTATGCAAGAAAGAACTCACTGTAAACATGTAACATTTATTTACAGCAAAAGTCTATGTTATTTTGAATCATCCATGGAACTTTTAGAGAATTGTAATTAAATAATAAGCTGTGAAAATTAACTACCTTTACTGAAACTGCAGGCTAATGGAGGTATAGGTGACTGAAAAGACAATAACAACAATTTTTAAATAAATGATCCTAATAAACATATTTGTGAAAAAATATGTTGAGTTATGCTTTAATTAGCTTAAATTTTGCTAGTTGAAATTATTTTTGCCTGTAAAAATGTTAGACTCACAAAAATAATTCAAAGCCTTTACTTTTATAAATTATTTTAAAAATAATACAAACATCTTTTTTCCTAACATTACTGAATGGGTTAATCTGTACACAGAGAGAAACACGGATTGATACCATTTGAAGACAGTTAAATGAACCATATTCACGATTTTTTTTCACAGCTATGGTAAGAGGAGTCTAAAAAAAGCTAGCACAACTTACCTCATCCTCTGAACTTAAAACCGGATATTCATCTGAACTATGACATCTTAAATTTTCCAATAAATTTGAAGATACAGGAAAATTGATAAATTCTGGAAAAGAAAATATGAGCTTTTTTCAATCAAAGGCATAGTCTAAACTATACAATATCATGATTATGTTCAAACCTTGGTATTAGAACTGATTAAGAAAAAGAAAATCAAGGATTATGAGATCAGTCTGTTTACAAGAAGAAAGAAACATTGTTCTTAATACAAAGAGCTGGGTCTCACAAGATTGCCATTTCAATCTATAAACTTATCTATAGCTTAAAAAACCCAACAATTTCAATAGGTTGTTGTATTTAAATGCACATCTGTCAAAAATCATCAGGGCTTTTTTTCCTTCTGTAAGCAGGGGTAGTTTGGCTTCCCAGGGTTTTTTACCAAGATTTTGGGAACATGACCCATACCCATGGAATTGGGAATTTCAGCAATGTTTTAAAATTTGGGTAAAAATGCATGATAATAATTATTAATATTTAATATTTAATAATTGCAGTGATTAAATTAATGCAAAGAATCACTGTCTAGGATGGCATCTTCAAACATTTAAACACCATAACAGTGAAGAAGCCCTTATTTTTAAAGATTTTAGAATTTGTTATTTAATTTAATATTTTCATTTTGTAACTTACAATTGGGAATTTTTTCCTGTGAATTGGGAAAATAAATATACTATTTTCAATTGGGAATAATCAATATGACTGAATATCGGCTATAAAATAAGCCAAAAAATAAATCCTGCTTCCCTGAAGGAGTTATATTTTAAATCATGCAGTTTTCCCCAAAAGTTGAATTTACATCAAATTTTTGCAAATATACAGTATAATTTTCCCAAAAAAATAAAGGGCAGGGCCAACATGTGAAAAGAAGCCCTAAACTTAAGTCATCAGAATTATTGTAGAGTGCTGAGGATATTTTTGGATCGGTTTTTAGTAAGGGTGTTAACAGTTTACCGGTAAACCGATATATTGCAGTATGAAAAAATAAATTTCGTACCGCGGTACAATTTTTGGAAAACCGGTATTTTATATAAATCATAATTTTCAATTAATTGCCTTCTAATTTCGTACAAATTTTGCATAAAATCTTTAATTGGCGAATTTTATTGGCGCCAACGTAAGATAAATATATATGACAATTAGTACACTTAAAAGTCATAAACGGCCGCATAATTTACATAAGCGGCCCAGATGTGAAAGGTCACGCGCGACTAGTTTTGTTTATCAAATTGTGTTACACTTTACTTTCTATTTATTCCTTACATTTATATTAAGTTTCTACTAAGAATACATATAATAATATTATATAATGTTACTCCATCTTTACATCAAAACATATACACGACAATACCTATTGCAATACGCTTTGGCAAAATGGCATAATTTGCAATACAGTTTTTGCTGTATTGTTACACCCCTAGTTTAGTCGCATGATGATGAACAAAGATAGGTCATATGGCGACTTTTCAGTTTTACTGGTGGAGGAAGAACTCTGGTGCCTTTCCTTGCATAATTTCAGGCCTGAGTAGAACGCAATATAAGCAAGCTGAATAGCTTCTTCACATGAAATTATCAGAAGTCACTATCGGGAGTTCAAAAGCAGTGAGGGACTAGTGGTTTGAAGTCAGCAACCAAAACAGTTAACCTCAGTGATTTTTCTCACGTAATTGGGAAGAGGCCTTAGCAAAATTATCTCTAAAATTGCTGTTTTGGGAAGTAAAAAAGATGGTTTAAGTTCATATTTTTGGGAAAACTGCATGATTTTAAAGAAAATTTCAATTGGGAAGAGGCCTTTTTTCGGAGTCTGTTACATAAGTAGAAAAATCACTGAAATCAATCAGATATCAGAATACTCCACCTATTATCATTGAGTTAGATTGAAAATGGAAGCGCCCAAATAGGCATTACACTGAAAATGTCACACTGATAGGTAAAGAAATATATATATTTTCAATTGTTTTTTATTTGATTTCCTTTTAAATTGAATTACAGTCAACCCGGCCCTAAGTTAACCCGGCCCCAAGTCAACCCGGCCCCATAATTGGTCAATCCGGCCCCACAGAATTTTTATTTGGTCAATGCGGCCCCAAAATTGGTCAAACCGGCCCCAAAATCGATCATTCCGGCCCCAAAATATATATTTCCAAAGAAAACTATTCAGGTCATTTTGTTGTATGCTGGAATGAAAATGATTTATTATTAATTGAATATTATTAACTATTATAACATCAACAATTATATGTACATCAACATTATTTCAGATGTGATAATCAAACAGTTTAAAGCAATCAATTAACAAAAAAGGTATACAGCTGTGAAAAACAAATCCTTTAAATAAGTTGCTAGTATCTTTCATGTCTTTATTCGATCACTATTACATATATATATCCGTGATTCGATGTAAATTAAAGATTAGTCCAAGAGATGGCGGGGTTTTATTGCAATTTACCGTATCATCAAAAGAAACATTGCCATTATGAAGCATATTGTTTGTAGTTTCTAAAAACCCATTTCTTAAGTTACGCAGCCCGGGCAAAAGTACAAAAATCCAAGATGGCCGCCAATATGGCCGCCATAAATTACAAAATACCATATAATTTTTTGTTTCTTGATGTTTTACATACGGATTTTGTACAAAAGTAGTTTCAATTGCACAATATCAGATAAAAATATGGCTAATTTATGGTTCAATCAAGCAAAGATGACAATTATATGGCAAACTTTTAAAATTATCACTAATTAATTTACCAAAAAAGTGGTAAAAAATAGCATTTTTTTGACAAATATGATGACTTTCGTTTTTTTCCGTATTTACACAATATAAACAAAAATGCATTTAAAGTGTGTGTATTTTATTAATTTAACATAGTTAGACACAAGTTAAGCATAAAAAAAACATTTTCTGGGCATTTATGCCGTAAGAGTTGATCTTCAAAGTGGGTGGGGTAATATCACCTGAAAAAAAAAAATTAAATTACAATGTTCTCAAAACATGCCTTTACTTTATAATTTCAGTTTAATGTATAGGAAATTGTGTTTTTTAATTGTATGTTCTTTATCATTTTAACATTTTTTGATAAGTTAAGACATAAAAATTCATAACCTGACGCATTTATAACAGAAGAGTACAGCTTCAAAAGTGGGTGGGGTAAAATAACCCCAAGAAAGCGCGTTCAAAAATAATAAGCTCCTTAAACTTGCCCTTATTTCACAATTTTAGTGCAATAATAAATATATTAAATTGAATTTTGTGGTAAGATATAAAATAAATATTTATTACATTTAAGAAGAAAAAAACATCATGTCATAGCAACCTTTAAGATAATCACAATTAACCAAAACTTTAATAGGTAAAAAAACACAGTTTTTGCATTTTGTTGCCTTTTAGTATATCTTTTTGACACAAAGTAGAGAATTGTGCTACAGTTGTTTTAGCTGACAATAGCTGTATTAGTTTTGGCATAAAAATCATTACAAGAGAATGTATCACAGAGGGATAGAGTTAAAAAAATGGGTCCAACAAAAACTTTGCAAAATTTTTAAAGTGCTAATTGAACATGCTATTTTACTTTAAATTTTTAATAGTCATGGGTTTTGCCTTTTTCTGACAAATATTATAAATTTAAATTATGTTAAACCGATGAAACCCTAGGATAGTATATTTTCGTTAAAACACTTTATTGCAGCTATTTTTTGTGAATCTTACGAAATCTTACTTACTGAATTTTTTTTAATAAAAAAGTTTGGAAAAGCTTTATTCCCTATTGTTGGTCAAAGTTAATATGGTCCCACCAAAAACGCGGTTATAATGACTTTTGTTTTTTTACTGTGTTTAATTATAGTGTATATGGAGAAAAAAATTATAAAGTTTGTATGTTTTGTACTCAAAAAGGTGTTTAATTTTATTTTTAAAAAAAAGGGTGTATTAGAATTCAAGTATTTTAAATTTCAGTATAATTATAAATTCTTTAATAAACTAAGAAAAAAAACATCATTTAAAAGGTGTTTTTATTTATCATAATTAATTCACACAAAAATGTATGAAAACAAAATGCTAGTATTTTTGTAACTTTTGTTTCATCTTTGTAACATAAAATAGATGTAAGTGTTCTTTAATTGAAATTGTCGCGAGGCATGTGTCTCAGAAGAGTAGCACTAAAAAGTGTGTGGGATAAAATTGAACTTAAACCTGAAGACATCACGATGCTTATACAACATACACTTATGGGCAGAAACAGTTTTTATTACGTTCTTTCTACCAAAAAATGTAATTTCATTAATTTTGATACATGTTTACAACACCTGTACATAATTGGTTATGTTTTTCTTAAAGGCCCATTATGCCTCAGACAAGCTTTTATCTTCCTTTCTCTTAACCTTTTTATAAATTTTGGTATAGGTTTATGTTATCCATATCGTTACTCACTGGCCAATCACCAGAACTTTTTTATCTGTTACATTTTGGCATAATTAAAGTGAATTAGTATTTTGTATGGAAGTTAAAATACTACTTTGCTTACATTTTGCTACATTTACTACAAAGAATTTTAGATTTTATCGCTATTTTATTTCAGGTAACAAGCATCTTACATTCTCTTAAATCATTATTTAATTTATTTTGTTTTTGAGGCATAATGTGCCTTTGATAAAGGTAAGAAATTTTGGCATCATAATTACAATTCAAGAACAAGTGCATTAAAACATAAAAAGACACACTTATATATTAATCAAGAAACCATGATATCTTGTGTATGCATTTTGTGAGAGTGTAGTTGTGAAATTTGATATAAACACATCATCATTTTTTAATTTAACAAAGGTAACAAGTATTGTCAATTTATAAAATTTGCAATCATATATGAATAAGTTTTAGCAAAAGTTGTGAAAGTAACTGCACACAAAACATCCCAAAATAGTTAAAACATGTTTAAGCTATCAATACATGTCACAGAAAATACATACATCTTGAAAGTATGCACTAATACATTTCTGTACAAAAGTCGATTTAAAGCAACAATTTTCACATAAAGCATAAACCGACCAGCATTT